AAACTGATGCGCGCGTGCGAATAAAAAAAAAGTTTTGCAAAAAAAAAGTTCTTTTCATTATGAAATCTACGTGGTCATGAGGGTTGAGCAAATGGCACAGAATATGGTTTGGCGAATAATCTAGTCTTCAAGTTCATTTCTTTACAATTTCGTCTTTTTTCGTTTTGATTTTGGCATTCTACGACATTGGTATAGTTTTTATTAATTTTTTTGTAACTTATGGTATATTTTTGCTCATTTTGCAACTGTTTTGTACGATTTACAGTATGGTTGAAAACTTCTTTTTTTTTGGAAACGGCCGAAAATTCATGCGCGCGCGGATGTCATCCATATAATCAAATCAACATGGCCTTATGAAGAAAGGGAGTGTGGAAATCTCAGTAGACTGGTGTACTTATACACACACATCTGTATTTGTGTTTCCTTCCTAAATCAATCTCCAGTTTTATTAGTAAGAGGTGATCGATGAACAGACCAGACTATTCAAACAGACCTTGTACTAATTATGCGACATGAAAGATGCCGTCATTCTATCGCACACGGACGTCAGAATCTTGTTTACTCTCCTTCCACCTTTAAATTACTGTTTCCTTTGGACTTTGTTCAATTCCTGTTGGGCACGTCGCAAATGACCTACATCTAGGACTGTCCACATCTGCTCTTGCTTTCATGCATATACATGTAAATACATGTACATGTAAATATTTCATGCAAGTACGTGTATGACTGAAATTGGCTGCACTGATATTTCACCATGCATACGAGATATTTTCTTGATGCTTTTCTGGACTCGCAATTGTTGATAATTTCCAAACAAATAGCACTGCCTTTTTCAACTTCTTGAAAACCTGCAATGATTCAGAACAGCCACTCATTTACTGTATGTGCACTATGACTCACTGTTACACCCTGCTTCTACAATAATTTGAATGAACTATGTTTGCTCTAATCACGAAGTCTAACATTCTGCTTACTGGTATTATGAATGCACGAGCCAAAAATGAAATTTAATGTTCTTGTTTGATCACATGCTGTTGTGTGGTGGTGGCTTCATCTACTGTAAATCTCGAAACATTCGCAGTGGTTTTATTTTTCAATTTTCATGATGACCTCTACAAATTCCTGATCACCATGAAATTGTCAACCTTGTATGACTACGAACTACAGAATTGTTTCTACCGCAAATTTAAGACACCTACGCTGAAATAATTAAACCACTGTGAATTTAAATGAACTTACAGTATTACTGATTGCTTCTTGGCTGTTTACTTGAATGATCTTGCTGTGGTGATTTCTTCATGCTTTATTCTAACGGACAATGCTTTACTCTTACCCCCCCCCTCCACTATTTATGCTGCTTCTTCAATCTGGGCTTGGTGAAACAATAAAAGGAGCCCAGTATATTGGTAGGTGATGGGCTCAATCTTAAATTTCGCACTGACATTGTCTTGCATGCACACTTATACATACATCGTAAAATGCTTGACTAGATATGCATGTATTCTGTTACACCCTATATAGAGTTTGCACTGTACATTGAAATTCCAAAATAGGTTCTTTCAGATTTGGCAATACAATACCAATTTTGCAGGACATAAAAGAATTACAAGAAACTTGTAGAAGGCTTTTTACTCTGTAAGAGTTTTATTTATACGTCGATGAAGGTTAGACATCCAGGTAATACGATACGCCAAAAAGCAGTTACTCAAGGAACTGGATATGATTTAATTTAAATAAGTTTTATTTATAATCTGACAAACTAGCAAATACAAACATCACAATGCACTGAACTATTTCAAAATTTTTATAACAAAATATTGGCCAAGACCTGAACAGATTGAGGTGTCCTTGTCAACACAGAGCCCTTTCATGTTCCCAGTAGGAAATCAGAAACATCAAGACAGTCATTACAGTTGAATGTTGAAATTTTTTTGTTTTCCGTACTTTTTTTATCAAACGTTTGCGACAGACAGAAATTTTGAAGAGTTAAAAATGACCTTTTTTTCCACTTGTTTCCAACAGTGAACATCTACACCTCCATCTTTGGGATGATCCAGATGGCTTGTATCCTCATGGCGCCTCTGATCGGTATTGTCCTGGACTGGAACACCAAGCCAAAGAAGTCCAAAGGTGCCAAAGAGGAACTTCTTGACGACGTCATGTGCAATGGGAAGGGCAGCACTTCCAGTGAAAAAAGGTATTTTAGATTGTGACTTTTGTGGGTTTCTGACAGGATTATCCTCTTAGTTACTTCATGGTTAGATGTACTTGGACTGCTGATGTAGACACAAAGTTTTTGTAAATTCTCTTGTTTTGCATGTATTCAACATTATGAATTTCTTGATGATTTGGTCTATGTAATTTCTCACTGGCTGCCATAAGGCAACCTACTATCATGCTTATACATCAGAAAATTTTTGATATGATGATGATGATCAGGAAATTGAAGACAGGAGATAAGATAACCTTTTCAGGGACCTTTGACCTAGCTTCCTGTTAGTGTCTCCGAAGCAAACACAGGTAGACACACCAAAAACAAAATCTCCACTGGTAGTAAGGAAGCAGCAACAACCTCTATAAGAAAATGGCTCAAACAAACAAACAAACAATACCTAATATTCTTCTGTTTCTTTGCAGCGTCAACACAGCCCTCAGCAAACAAAAACAACAACAGAAGGTCAAGTTGCAGAAGATCAGCAATGTGATGAAGGCCTTTGCCCTGACGAATGTCCTCATGATCTTCTTCGGTGTCACTGTCCTCATCCCAAGTCTTGAGCTGCAGGTGAGAAAACTTCTGCTGGAAAAAGCATGAATTTTTTTATTACAGTTCTATAATCTTTCTAGCAGACAGTTAAAAATTTCTGCTGGAAAAAGGAGCATGAATTTTTTATTACAGTTCTATAATCTTTCTAGGAGACAGTTAAAAATTTCTGCTGGAAAAAGGAGCATGAATTTTTTATTACTAGTAACAGTTCTATAATCTTTCTAGGAGACAGTTAAAAATTTCTGCTGGAAAAAGGGCAATGAATTTTTTATTACAGTTCTATAATCTTTCTAGCAGACAGTTAAAAATTTCTGCTGGAAAAAGGAGCATGAATTTTTTATTACAGTTCTATAATCTTTCTAGGAGACAGTTTAAAATTTCTGCTGGAAAAAGAGCATGAATTTTTTTATTACAGTTCTATAATCTTCTAGGAGACAGTTCTAAAATCTATCTATCACATTCCTTTGCCAATGGGTCTGTGTATTTCTGTAGCTTGCAACAGTTTCAATACCATGATTTTCAGCAATTGTAACATTCGCTGATGTTTTATGTGTTATTTCTTTTTCTAGATCCTGACGTTTTTGCTTCACACACTTATCAGAGGGTTTATCCATTCAACTGTTGGTGCCATGTATGCCACAATGTAAGTGTACAGTCTATGAACTACTTTTTAGATTTTAAGCATTCTTAACTCAACATATACTACTGACTTTCCTTGCTATATTTGTTCATGATTTTTGCATTGAACGAACACTTCAATGCATTGTCTAGCAATTAATGTACATGTACAAGTTTTAATTATAAACCAGCCTGGTATGTTGACCTCATGGTAATATTTCCGGCCTTTATGGGGTGCCTTGGCCTATTTTTTTTTTCTTATTTTTATTTCGCCCTGTTGCTTCATATTTTTTCCGAAAAAATCTGAGAAACAACAAATTACATTGGTGTGGCTTACAAGTATTTGTAAGGAAATGATAACTGACAAACCTGTGTTTTATCCTCAGGTATCATCACACCCATTTCGGCACGTTGACAGGGTTGCAGTCTCTGATCTCTGCAGTGTTCGCCTGCCTACAGTACCCCATCTTCACCATCATCAACGGACCTCTCAACGAGGACCCCTTCTGGGTACGTAGATTATTACAACCTTATAACCTCGGGGGACCAACAGTGTACGTCTCAAATACAAGTCATTGTATAGTCAAACCTGTGCAATCGCCATTGTATATAGTCACTGACTTTCCTGTACTCTCCAAGCAGAGGTTGATGGTGGAAGATCGTTTGCTTTTTTATATATGGCCCTTTTTTTGGGTGGGGAAATGGGAAATGTCTTACCCCCACCAAAAGATCTGCTTGGAGATTAATTTTCTGGTGGTTATCTTTCCTCATACTTTGCTAGTACGAATCTTGTCTACAATGACTATTTCTTCTTTGTCCTATACTACTTAGCCCTTTTTTCCGACATCACTATTAGTTTTTTTTTTCAAATCCATTGAGTTGTCATTGTAGATAGGTTTGACTATGCATGTCCACAATCCATCTGTGACAATACAGTGTTGTCTTGATTGTGTTTTCCATGCAATAACAATAGAAAATTGATTGAACGAGGTTGCAAGTACAAGTACAAAGTTGCAAGTACAAAAAGAACATTTGATAAAGACATAACCAACAATTAGTAACAGTCAATATTCCACAACTAGAACTAGATTTTAACTCCTAAGCCAACTGGATTTTACTTTTTTTGTGACAGAGGAAGACAAAGGATCATACTCTTACTATACTGTGTGTTTTTTTTAAATCTGTAAACATGTGGAAGTGAGGGTAGAATTTGGTTGCCTCATTTAAGAGCTTGCTTCTTCTACACAGAACCTTGTTCTGTTGCAGCCTGACTCTCATGTTCTCCATTGTACTTTCTCCAGATGAATGTTGGCTTGCTGGTTCTCACGTTCTTCAACTTCGGGCTGCCTGCCTACCTCTTCCTGTACGTCAAGAGACTACGGGCGGAACCCGAGGTGGGCAAACCGAAGACGTCGGTAGTCTCGGTCGAACTTCCAAAGAACATGAGCCAGAAAGCCCTCATAACGACGATAAAGGAAGAGGAACTTGACAACGATGAAGTCTTCATGGCTTGAGGGAGATGCACACAGACTGAAGCGCTCTTGTAATCACGAGTTTGTTCGCCGTGTGACAAACCGGACGCATTGCATAGTTGTGTCGTGTACAAAGTTTCAGAGATATATGCAATACAGGGCAAACTTTTGAGTGACAAGAGAGCAACAGAATCCTGGTCAAGCCATGCTGGTTATGGTATAACATTAGCTGTTCAGAAGTGTGAAAAAAGTAACTGCCACTGGAAGGGTAGAAAGGAGCATGTAATATTCCTTCACAGTCTTTAAGAAAGCAGAGTTTAATTTTCAAGTTAGAGGAAAGTTTTGCCATCCAGAAGTCACCACGTAATTCTAGGAAGGGCTCTTAGTTGTTCGTATGATGAGGGTTTGGTATTATTAATTTGTTTTTGTTGTCAAGAAAGGATTATATACAATTCCACCATAAGGGTTTGGGGCAAAGAGCTGTAGATCAAATAGTAGTGTATCTATGGTGCTGTTATGAGGCAATGAACAACCCAAAATGTGCAATACCATCTTTTAGTTACTGCTGGATACATATACAAACATTTCTTTCAAGTATCATATATTGGTGGCGGAATATGTTTAGTGTGTTATACATGTACTTTTCTCACAGAAGGTACAGCTGGAATAGTGCAACGTAGTCTTTTGTCAAAAGACGGACTGTGCATTTATTGTAGGCCATTGTCACCAGAATTGTGATGATATTTAAAAGATACAAAGTCACCTGGCAGTATTAAATGTATGCCAGTGAGTGCAGTTAAGTGATTTGAGCTTCTGGTAAAATGCAACTGTATATTAAGTGTTTTTGTAACTTTATATGTTTGTATATTCAGGCACTGTCCTATCTAATTCTAAGGCAAGAATCTTCTGACTTAAGATTTCTTATGGACATAAGTTTTAAAAAATCTAGATATTAAGGTAAACAAATTTGCAAGGCGTGATGCCAAAGCCTTTCTCTAAGTGTTGGATGTCTACAAGAATACTTACTTCTACACAAGAGTTTTTGAGATAATATAAAATCCAAAGAAATTGACAGAGAGATTTGATACATACCAAAGTGTTGGTATAGGTTGATAGGTATATAACTGCACACATTTGATGTTCTTAATTTGTCTAATATCTGGTTTGTTTACTGTACTT